GTTTACAGGTCGAGTGCCATTGATATTAGCACGACGCTCTAACCAACTGAACTAATAAGCCTACAGGTTCGCCCATTTTGTATTATGGTCCATGTAGGTTTCGAACCTACGACCTTCGCGTTATTAGCACGACGCCCTAACGAGCTAATAGGCCTACAGGTCAGGTGCCACTGATAGTATAAAATTTAAATAGAAATAATTAATTATTAATATTAGCACGACGCTTTAACCAACTGAGCTAATATGCCTACAGGTCCGCGACTGCTATCCTTCTAATCTAATTCTATTTTTATTTTTTTTAGTTTTAAATTTTGTTAGTAAAAAATTTAAATCAAAATAGATAATTATGGCCCATGCAGGTCTTGAACCTGCGACCTTCGCGTTATTAGCACGACGCTCTAATCAGCTGAGCTAATAGGCCTACAGGTCAAGTGCCACTGATATCCGTTCAATCTAATTCCTTTTTTATTTTTTTTAGATGTTCGTAAAAAATTTAAATAAAAATAAATAATTATGGCCCATGCAGGTCTCGAACCTGCGACCTTCGCGTTATTAGCACGACGCTCTAACCAGCTGAGCTAATAGGCCTACAGGTTGAGCGCCACTGATATCCGTTCAATCTAATTCCTTTTTTATTTTTTTTTTTAGTTTTCAATTTTGTTCGTAAAAAATTTAAAATAGAAATAATTAATTATGGCCCATGCAGGTTTCGAACCTGCGACCTTCGCGTTATTAGCACGACGCTCTAACCAGCTGAGCTAATAGGCCTACAAGTCGAGCGCCACTGATATCCGTTCAATCTAATTCCTTTTTTATGCTTACTTGCTGTGATCCATTCTAAGATGGGAAAACAGTATCAGAGGTAAAGAGTCTCATGTAAGGGAGAACTTATTAACATGGAAGGTCAAAAAGGTCAAAAGCTCAAGATGCGAGACTTAATAAGCTTTTCCTCACTCACCCTGCTACAAGATGTCACCCTTAAAGGGATTTAGCAGTAACCGAAGGAAATGCCACTACGCCTTCGATTTTTTTAGTTTTCAATTTTGTTCGTAAAAATTTATGGCCAATACAGGTCTCGAACCTACAACCTTCGCATTATTAGTACAACGCTCTAACCAGCTGAACTAATAAGCCTACAGGTTCGCCCATTTTGTATTATGGTCCATGTAGGTTTCGAACCTACGACCTTCGCGTTATTAGCACGACGCTCTAACCAACTGAACTAATAAGCCTACAGGTTCGCCCATTTTGTATTATGGTCCATGTAGGTTTCGAACCTACGACCTTCGCGTTATTAGCACGACGCCCTAACGAGCTAATAGGCCTACAGGTCAGGTGCCACTGATATCCGTTCAATCTAATTCTTTTTTTTTGTAGATTTCAATTTTGTTCGTATAAAATTTAAATAGAAATAATTATTATTAACCAACTGAGCTAATATGCCTACAGGTCCAATGCGACGGCTATCCTTTCTATTTTTATTTTTTTTAGTTTTAAATTTTGTTAGTAAAAAATTTAAATCAAAATAGATAATTATGGCCCATGCAGGTCTTGAACCTGCGACCTTCGCGTTATTAGCACGACGCTCTAACCAGCTGAGCTAATAGGCCTACAGGTCAAGTGCCACTGATATCCGTTCAATCTAATTCTTTTTTTAGTTTTTTTTTAGTTTTCAATTTTGTTCGTAAAAACTTAAATGGAAATAATTAATTATGGCCTATAGGTCGAGCGCCACTGATTTCCGTCATGCAGGTTTCAAACCTACGACCTTCACGTTATTAGCACAGCGCTCTAACCAGTTGAGCTAATAGGCCTACAGGTTAGGTGGCATTGATATCCGTTCATTCTAATTCTTTTTTTATTTTTTTTTAGATGTTCGTAAAAAATAATTAATTATGACCCATGCAGGTCTCGAACCTACAACCTTCGCATTATTAGCACGACGCTCTAACCAACTGAGCTAATAGGCCTACAAGTTTGATGTGATTGCTATTCAACTAATCTAATTCTCTTTATATTTTTTTTAGTTTTCAATTTTGTTCGCAAAAAATTTAAATAAAAATAAATAATTATGGCCCATGCAGGTATTGAACCTGCGACCTTCTCGTTATTAGCACAACGCTCTAACCAGCTGAGCTAATAGGCCTACAGTTCAGGTGCCACTGATATCCGTTCAATCTAATTCTTTTTTTTATTTTTTTTTAGATTTCCCTTTTATGCGTAAAAAATTTAAATATAAATAATTAATTATGGCCCATACAGGTCTCGAACCTACAACCTTTGCGTTATTAGCATGACGCTCTAACCAGCTAAGCTAATAAGCCTACAGGTCAAGTGCCACCTATATCCGTTCAATCTAATTCTTTTTTTTTATTTTTTTTTTAGATTTACATTTTGTTCGTAAAAAATTTAAATGGAAATAATTAATTATGGCCCATGCAGGTCTCAAACCTAAGACCTTCGCGTTATTAGCACGACGCTCTAACCAGCTGAGCTAATAGGCCTACAGGTCCGGTGCGACTGCTATCCGACTAATCTAATTCTCTTTATATTTTTTTTAGTTTTCAATTTTGTTCGTAAAAAATTTAAATAAAAATAAATAATTATGGCCCATGCAGGTCTCGAACCTGCGACCTTTGCGTTATTAGCACGATGCTTAATTATGGCCCATGCAGGTCTCGAACCTGCGACCTTCGCGTTATTAGCACGATGCTCTAACTAGCTGAGCGGCTTATGCTGTCTCGAACCTGCAACCTTCGCGTTATTAGCACGATGCTCTAACTAACTGAGCTAATAGGCCTACAGGTCGGGTGCCACTGATATCCGTCCAATCTAATTCTTTTTTTTATTTTTTTTTGTAAAAAATTTAAATAGAAATAATTAATTATGAGCCATGTAGGTCTCAAACCTGCAACCTTCACGTTATCAGCACAACGCTCTAACAAGCTAAGCTAATATGCCTATAGGTCCAGTATGACTGCTATCATTCTAATCTAATTCTATATTTATTTTTTTTAGTTCGTAAAAAATTTAAATCAAAATAGATAATTATGACCCATACAGATCTTGAACTTGCAACCTTCACGTTATTAGCATAACGCTCTAACCAACTAAGCTAATAGGCCTACATGGCAAGTGTCACTGATATTCGTCCAATCTAATTCTTTTTTTTATTTTTTTTTGTAAAAAATTTAAATAAAAATAATTAATTATGGCCCATGCAAGTCTCGAACCTGCGACCTTCGCGTTATTAGCACGACGTTCTAACCAGCTAAGCTAATAGGCCTACAGATTGAGTGCCACTGATATCCAATTCAATCTAATTCTTTTTTTTTTGAGCTAATAGGCCTACAGATTGAGTGCCACTGATATCCAGTTCAATCTAATTCTTTTTTTATAGATTTACATTTTGTTCGTAAAAATGGCCCATGCAGGTCTCTAACCTGTGACCTCCGCGTTATTAGCACGACGCTCTAACCAACTAAGCTAATAGACCTACAAGTCAAGTGCCACTGATATCCGTTCAATCTAATTCTTTTTTTATTTATTTTTTAGTTTTCCATTTTGTTCGTAAAAAATTTAAATAGAAATAATTAATTATGGCCCATGCAGGTTTCGAACCTACGACCTTCGCGTTATTAGCACGACGCTCTAACCAACTGAGCTAATAGGCCTACAAGTTGGGTGCCACTTATATCCGTTCAATCTAATTCTTTTTTTTATTTTTTTTTTAGTTTTCAATTTTGGCCATAGCGCGACCTTCACGTTATTAGCACGACGCTCAAGCTAATAGGCCTACAAGTCCAATGCGACTGTTATCCGTCTAATCTAATTCTCTTATTTTTTTTAATTTTTAATTTTGTTCGGTCCAATCTAATTCTTTTACAATTTTTTTTTAGTTTTCAATTTTGTTCGTAAAAAGTCCATGTAGGTCTCGAACCTACGACCTTCGCGTTATTTACACGACACTCTAACAAACTGAGCTAATAGGCCTAGTCAGATGCCACTGATATCCGTCCAGTCTAATTCTTTTTTTATTTTTTTTAGTTTTCAATTTTGTTCGTAAAAAATTTAAATCTCACCTGCAACCTTCGCATAATTAGCACGACGCTCTAACCAGCTGAGCTAATAGGCCTACAGGTCGGATGCCACTGATATCCGTTCAATCTAATTTTTTTTTTATTTTTTTTTAGATTTCCATTTTGTTCGTAAAAAATTTAAATAGAAATAATTAATTATGGCCCATGCAGATCTCGAACCTGCGACCTTCGCGTTATTAGCACGATGCTCTAACCAGCTGAGCTAATAGGCCTAGTTTTCAAATGCCACTGATATCCGTTCAATCTAATTCTTTTTTTAGTTTTCAATTTTGTTCGTAAAAAATTTAAATGGAAATAATTAAGCCCATGTAGATTTTGAATCTGCAACCTTCACGCTATTAGCACGACGCTCTAACAAGCTGAGCTAATATGCTTATAGGTCCAGTGCGACTGCTATCCTTCTAATCTAATTCTACTTTTATTTTTTTTAGTTTTCAATTTTGTTCGTAAAAAATTTAAATCAAAATAGATAATTATGGACCATGCAAGTCTCGAACCTGAGCTAATAGGCCTACAGGTTACCATTTTGTTCGTAAAAAATTTAAATAGAAATAATTAATTATGGCCCATGCAAGTCTCAAACCTGCAACCTTCGTGTTATTAGCACGACGCTCTAACCAGCTGAGCTAATAGGCCTACAGGTCGGGTGCCACTGATATCAGTTCAATCTAATACTCAAAATAATCATGCAGGTTTCGAACCTACGAGCTTCACGTTATTAGCACGACGCTCTAACCAGCTGAGCTAATAGGCCTACAGGTCGGGTGCAATTGATATCCGTTCAATCTAATTCTTTTTTTTATTTTTTTTTTAGATTTCCATTTTTTTCGTAACAAATTTAAATCAAAATAATTAATTATGGCCCATGCAGGTCTCGAACCTACAACATTTGCGTTATTAGCACGACGCTCTAACTAGCTGAGCTAATAGGCCTACAGGTTGAGCACCACTAATATCAGTTCAATTTAATTCTTTTTTTTATTTTTTTTTAGTTTTCAATTTTGTTCGTAAAAAATTTAAATAATTAATTATGGCCTACAGGTCGAGTGCCACTGATAATAGGCCTACAGGTTGGGTTTATAATGAAAATAATTAATTATGGCCCATGCAAGTCTCAAACCTGCGACCTTCGCGTTATTAGCACGACGCTCTAACCAGCTGAGCTAATAGGCCTACAGGTTTGATGCGACTGCTATCCGACTAATCTAATTCTCTTTATATTTTTTTTTAGTTTTCAATTTTGTTCGTAAAAAATTTAAATAAAAATAAATAATTATGGCCCATGCAGGTCTCGAACCTGTGACCTTTACGTTATTAGCACGACGCCCGTTCAATCTAATTCTTTTTTTATTTTTTTTTAATTTTCAATTATGTTCGTAAAATATTTAAATGGAAATAATCATGCAGGTCTCAAACCTGCGATCTTCACGTTATTAACACAACGCTCTAACCAGCTGAGCTAATAGGCCTACAAGTTGGGTGACACTGATATCCGTTCATTCTAATTCTTTTTTTATTTTATTTTTTAAATTTCCATTTTGTTGGTAAAAAAATTTAAATAAAAATAATTAATTATGGCCCATGCGGGTCTCGAACCTGCGACCTTCGTGTTATTAGCACGACGCTCTAACCAGCTGAGCTAATAGGCCTACAGGTCCGGTGCGACTGCTATCCGACTAATCTAATTCTCTTTATATTTTTTTTAGTTTTCAATTTTGTTCGTAAAAAATTTAAATAAAAATAAATAATTATGGCCCATGCAGGTCTCTAACCTGTGACCTTCGCGTTATTAGCACGACGCTCTAACCAGCTGAGCTAATAGGCCTACAGGTCGAGCGCCACTGATATCCGTTCAATCTAATTCTTTTTTTATTTTTTTTTTAGTTTTCAATTTTGGCCATAGCGCGACCTTGCACGAAATTTTTAATTTTGTTCGTAAAAAATTTAAATCTAAATAAATAATTATGGCTTATGCAGTCTCGAACCTGCAACCTTCGAGTTATTAGCACGATGCTCTAACTAGCTGAGCTAATAGGCCTACAAGTCCAGTGCGACTGATATCCTTCTAATCTAATTCTCAGTTTTCAATTTTGTTCGTAAAAAATTTAAATAGAAATAATTAATTATGGCCCATGCAGGTCGAACCTGCAACCTTCGCATAATTAGCACGACGCTCTAACCAGCTGAGCTAATAGGCCTACAGGTCGGATGCCACTGATATCCGTTCAATCTAATTTTTTTTTTTTTTTTTTTTTAGATTTCCATTTTGTTCGTAAAAAATTTAAATAAAAATAATTATTTATGGCCCATGCAGGTCTCGAACCTGCGACCTTCGTGTTATTAGCACGACGCTCTAACCAGCTGAGCTAATAGGCCTAGTTTTCAAATGCCATTGATATCCGTTCAATCTAATTCTTTTTTTATTTTTTTTTTAGTTTTCAATTTTGTTCGTAAAAAATTTAAATGGAAATAATTAATTATGGCCTACAAGTCGAGCGCCACTCATATCCGTATAAAAATAATTAATTATGGCCCATGTAGATTTTGAACCTGCGACCTTCACGTTATTAGCACGACGCTCTAACAAGCTGAGCTAATATGCTTATAGGTCCAGTGCGACTGCTATCCTTCTAATCTAATTCTACTTTTATTTTTTTTAGTTTTCAATTTTGTTCGTAAAAAATTTAAATCAAAATAGATAATTATGGACCATGAAGTCTTGAACCTGAGCTAATAGGCCTACAAGTTACCATTTTGTTCGTAAAAAATTTAAATAGAAATAATTAATTATGGCCCATGCAAGTCTCGAACCTGCGACCTTCGCGTTATTAGCACGACGCTCTAACCACAAGTCAAGTGCCACTGATATCCGTTCAATCNTTTTTTTTTTAGTTTTCAATTTTGTTCGTAAAAAATTTAAATGGAAAAAATTAATTATGGCCTACAAGTCGAGCGCCACTTATATCCGAATAATCATGCAGGTTTCGAACCTACGAGCTTCACGTTATTAGCACGACGCTCTAACCAGCTGAGCTAATAGGCCTACAGGTCGGGTGCCACTGATATCCGTTCAATCGTTTCGAACCTACGAGCTTCACGTTATTAGCACGACGCTCTAACCAGCTGAGCTAATAGGCCTACAGGTCGGGTGCCACTGATATCCGTTCAATCTAATTCTTTTTTTTATTTTTTTTTAGATTTCCATTTTTTTCGTAACAAATTTAAATCAAAATAATTAATTATGGCCCATGCAGGTCTCGAACCTACTGATATCCGTTCAATTTAATTCTTTTTTTATTTTTTTTAGATTTCCATTTTGTTCGTAAAAAATTTAAATGAAAATAATTAATTATGGCCCATGCAGGTCTCGAACCTGCGACCTTCGCGTTATTAGCACGACGCTCTAACCAGCTGAGCTAATAGGCCTACAAGTCTAATGCGACTGCTATCCGACTAATCTAATTCTCTTTATATTTTTTTTTAGTTTTCAATTTTGTTCGTAAAAAATTTAAATAAAAATAAATAATTATGGCCCATGCAGGTCTCGAACCTACGACCTTTACGTTATTAGCACGACGCCCGTTCAATCTAATTCTTTTTTTATTTTTTTTTTAATTTTCAATTATGTTCGTAAAATATTTAAATGGAAATAATCATGCAGGTCTCAAACCTACGACCTTCACATTATTAACACGACGCTCTAACCAGCTGAGCTAATAGGCCTACAAGTTGGGTGACACTGATATCCGTTCATTCTAATTCTTTTTTTATTTTATTTTTTAAATTTCCATTTTGTTGGTAAAAAAATTTAAATAAAAATAATTAATTATGGCCCATGCGGGTCTCGAACCTGCGACCTTCGTGTTATTAGCACGACGCTCTAACCAGCTGAGCTAATAGGCCTACAGGTCCGGTGCGACTGCTATCCGACTAATCTAATTCTCTTTATATTTTTTTTAGTTTTCAATTTTGTTCGTAAAAAATTTAAATAAAAATAAATAATTATGGCCCATGCAGGTCTCTAACCTGTGACCTTCGCGTTATTAGCACGACGCTCTAACCAGCTGAGCTAATAGGCCTACAGGTTGAGTGCCACTGATATCCGTTCAATCTAATTCTTTTTTTATTTTTTTTTAGTTTTCAATTTTGTTCGTAAAAAATTTAAATAAAAATAAATAATTATGGCCCATGCAGATCTCGAACCTGCGACCTTCGCGTTATTAGCACGACGCTCTAACCAGCTGAGCTAATAGGCCTACAGGTCGAGCACCACTGATATCCGTTCAATCTAATTCTTTTTTTATTTTTTTTTTAGTTTTCAATTTTGGCCAGGTAGCGCGACCTTCACGTTATTAGCACGACGCTCTAACCAGCTGCGCTAATATGCCTACAGTCACTGCTATCCTTCTCATCTAATTCTATCTATCCTTCTCATCTAATTCTATTTTTATTTTTTTTAGTTTTCAATTTTGTTCGTAAAAAATTTAAATCAAAATAGATTTTTTTAGTTTTCAATTTTGTTCGTAAAAAATTTAAATCAAAATAGATTTTTTTAGTTTTCAATTTTGTTCGTAAAAAATTTAAATCAAAATAGATTTTTTTAATTTTCAATTTTGTTCGTAAAAAATTTAAATCAAAATAGATTTTTTTAGTTTTCAATTTTGTTCGTAAAAAATTTAAATCAAAATAGATTTTTTTAGTTTTCAATTTTGTTCGTAAAAAATTTAAATCAAAATAGATTTTTTTAGTTTTCAATTTTGTTCGTAAAAAATTTAAATCAAAATAGATTTTTTTAATTTTCAATTTTGTTCGTAAAAAATTTAAATCAAAATAGATAATTATCGAACAAAATTTAAATCAAAATAGATAATTATGCCCATGCAGGTAGACCTGCGACTGCTCTAACCAACTAAGCTAATAGGCCTACAGGTCCAGTGCGACTGCCATCCGTCTAATCTAATTCTCTTTTTATAAAAGAACCTGAGGTCCAGTGCGACTGCCATCCGTCTAATCTAATTCTCTTTTTATAAAAGAACCTGCGATCTTCGCGTTATTTACACGACACTCTAACAAACTGAGCTAATAGGCCTAAGCCTACAGGTCAGATGCCACTGATATCCATCCAGTCTAATTCTTTTTTTATTTTTTTTAGTTTTCAATTTTGTTCGTAAAAAATTTAAATCTAAATAAATAATTGTCCGGTGCGACTGATATCCGTCTAATCTAATTCTCTTTTATTCGTAAAAAATTTAAATAAAAATAATTAATTATGGCTCATGCAGGTCTCAAACCTACAACCTTCGCATTACTAGCACGACGCTCTAACCAGCTGAGCTAATAGGCCTACAAGTCAAGTGCCACTGATATCCGTTCAATCTAATTCTTTTTTTATTTTTTTTTAGATTTCCATTTTGTTCGTAAAATATTTAAATAGAAATAATTAATTATGGCCCATGCAAGTCTCAAACCTGAGACCTTCAGGTTATTAGCACGACGCTCTAACCAGCTGAGCCAATAGGCTTACAAATTTGATGCGACTGCTATCCGTCTAATCTAATACTCTTTTTATTTTTTTTAGTTTTCGATTTTGTTCGTAAAAAATTTAAATCAAAATAAATAATTATGGCCCATGCAGGTCCGGAACCGGCGACCTTCACATTATTAGCACGACACTCTAACCAGCTAAGCTAATAGGCCTACACAAGTTGGGTGTCACTGATATCCGTCCAATCGCGTTATTAGCACAATTATAGCCTATGCAGGTCTCAAACCTGTGACCTTCACATTATTAGCACAACGTTCTAACCAGCTGAGTTAATAGACCTACAAGTTAGGGGCCACTGATATCTAGTCTAATTCTTTTTTTATTTGTTTAGTTTTCAATTTTGTTCGTAAAAAATTCAAATAAAAATAATTAATTATGGCCCATCCAGGTCTTGAACGTGCGACCTTCATGTTCTACAGACTGATATCCATCTAATCTAAGGCTCATGCAAGTCTCGAACCAAGTCTCGAACCTACGACCTTCACGTTATTAGCACGACGCTCTAACCAGCTGAGCTAATAGGCCTACAGGTCCGATGTGACTGATATCCGTCTAATCTAATTCTTTTTTTATTTTTTTTAGTTTTCAATTTTGTTCGTAAAAAATTTAAATCAAAATAAATAATTATGGTTCATGCAAATCTCAAACATAGAACCTTCGCGGTATTAGCATGACGCTCTAACCAGCTAAACTAATAAGCCTACAAGTTCAGTGCTAACTGATATTCATCTAGTCTAATTCTTTTTATATTTTTTTTAGTTTTTAATTTTGTTCGTAAAAAGTTTAAATCAAAATAAATTAATTACCTCCGCGTTGTTAGCACGATGCTCTAACCAGAGAGCTAATAGGCCTACAGGTCCGGTCTTTTTTTTTTTGGTGTCAAACTTGCAACATTCGCGTTATTAGTACAACGTTCGAACCAGCTAAGCTAATAGGCCTACAAGTCCAATGCCACTAATATCCGTCCAGTCTAATTCCTTTTTTTTATTTTTTTTCAGTTTTTAATTTTGTTTCGCAACCTTCATTATTATTATTATTATTATTATTATTATTATTATTATTATTATTTTGGTTTGTAAAAAAAAATCATATCAAAAGGAATGATTATGGCCCATGCAAGTTATTAACGTACTCTAGAGCTAATAGGCCAATTGCAATTGAAGGCCTTTGGACTTGTAATATTATATATTAACTTTTTTATTAATTATAAATACAAATTTAAAATACCTCTAATTTAATTTCATACTTTCAATAAATCATCAAATTAGCTTTTTTTTTTTTTTTTTTTTTTTTT